GTATTCTCTTTCTTCCCTCCCACTGAATGAGTTTTGTTGGGTGAAATGCAGGGGAGTGCGTGAAAGCCGCCCTTGCAGAAGGCTCATCCGGCATGGCACCGGTGGTCATTCTCTGCAAGCAGCGTTGCATCGGAATATTTTCTGCCTATATTCCGTACATATTGGAATGTACTTTACTTTTATTACTTTTTGGTTTTTACTGCATGATCTGGGTGGGGTATGGCCGCAGAATTTGCCGTTTTGCGAGCCACATAGCGCTTAGTTTCGTAGCCGTTGGACCACAGACGAGGAAGAGTTTTCCTCATTTATGTAGCAGCCATATTGCTTCTTTCTCATCTCTTCTTTTTATTGAAAACTTAAACTTGCAAAGCGTTTTGCATTTTGGCCGCTTGAGGCTGTGTGTTCGCTGCCACTATGACGCTACAGCAATAGAGCTCGTCTGATTTCATACAAGAAATATTGATGATGGATCAAACTCGCTAAAAGGAGTGCATGGGGTTGCCAATACAAATACCACAACTGGAATGTTTAGGCTGACCTGCAGCCAGTGTCCAGCGTGTAGAAATGGAGCATTATTGTTTTCACAAGCATTCTCTAAGACTCTCCGTGCATGTAGTGGCCTAGCTAATAAAGTATTTGGTTACTGCACCCATCGCGTTGACCACGTCTCCTCCTCTCTAGAGTTCGACAAAAATTCGTAGAGGCGACCAGGCTCTAGAGGAAGCGCCTGATCCAGAGTCCGCATTTTAAAATACTGAGTATTTCTTGGAATGTGCTCGTCAATTTCATCTCGCTAAGCTGCTCTTCTTCTCTTTCTCATCAGCAGAAGCGGACGGCTGTGCTGCGTTCTCTTCCGTTGCACGCTGCTGCAGCTCCTAAGGGAGGAATCAACAACGCACCAGTAGTCAAGCAGAAGCTTCTTAGGGGACATACTATGCTTCATCCGCACACAGAAACACTAATTGATGTTGTTTATTCAGTAAAAAGATCGCATCATGCTCTTAACCAGCACAGCTTTATTATTATATGTTGGCCTCTAACTTATTAAAATATGAATTGGTTGCGGGAATCGAACCCCGAGTCTTTCAGACTGCATTAAAAACTAATACATATTTACTCTTATAAAATGTGCGGATAGAGGCTGACGAAGCTGAAGTGCAGGATATTTTATCAGCGTAGCGCGCACCTTAAGGAAAGCTGCCTCCATCGCTTTATACTCAGCTTCAATTGCTTGGAGTTCATTGCTTTCCTTGTCCTCTTCGGGAGGAACTTCGATTTCTTCTGATTCTCTTTCAATTGCCTGCCGTTTGTTTTTCTCTTCTGCTGCCTAAAGATCAGAAAGACACTATCACAACTCTAGCGGGGCATGAGTTTCATTGCTCTCTCGAGAATCCGTCTAAGTGCGGGCGTCTTACACAGCTACTGGGGTTTGTGCTGCTGGGGCTTGTATAGCAGCGCAATATCTTGCTGCTGCATTTCCGTCTTAAATGACGATGAACAGCCACGTGAGACGAATATAATCAGCATCAAAGTGTACAGATGTACACAAATTGTATCTCCGTCACGCTATTCTGAAAGGCAGCAGCCCTTATGGTTGGAGTGTACAGGATACTCGTGTGTAAATTCTCAATAC